GCACACTGACAGTTCAGATTAAAAACTGAACAACGGTGGTGAAGAAAGTGGAGGATTTAGCAGTTAAACAGACATTTCTAGTCTATGATACTTCAACAAATGAACAAAACTGGTTTAAAAATATTTTTACACAGCTGGTACCACAGTTCTTTTTCTTTTTGGCTTTAGCTAAAATCTTTGTTCAGGAAAACGTCTGAATTTTCCAGTGCTCAGTTAACTGTTCACTGCCACTGCAGGTATAATGTGCTTTTAGATTACTGCATTGTTTTGCACAAACTAACAGTGCTTGGCATTTTGCATAACTTGAGTTTCTTTAAGAGCGAGACAGACACATGCTCAGCAGTGTCACAACATCCACGCGTCTGTTATTGCTGGTTAATAACGGCTCACCTGGCGACCTCTGGACTCTGTTTGACAGCAAGTAGGAGGGGCTCAGTGTTGATGAGGATGGCCCAACAAGGGAAACAGGCCAGCAGCAGAATCAGGACTCCCCTCTGGAGAATCACACCCACACGCTTCAAGTTACCGCTCCCATACGTCTGCGTGAAACAGGTAGACAGACGCTCGGGTGAGAAAAGTTGGAAAACACAGAATCCCACCAAAGAACAAGGGTATGACTGATCATAGAAAAATAACTCCACACAAAAGCTCAGTGTTGAGATGTTTAAAAGGGGATTCCAGGAGAACCTGGGAACCCAGCTGTGCTGCTTGTGTTTGTCTTGGTTACACAAATAAAGTGAAAGCTCTGGTGAGGACCCTACCTGAGATATGAGGGTATCACAAGTTAACGACAAACCGGTGCCAATGGAAATACCAGTGACGTTAACTACCTGCAAACGAAACACAACATGCATAAACTGGGGTAAAAAATGATGCATATTTACGGTTCAACAACAAAGGCACTGAAATGTCTGCTCACCGCAATTGATAATGCTACAGCTGCAAGTTCAGTTTTCCCCAGGTGACCACAGAACACCGTGCTGACAAAACCGATCATGAAAATCATGAACTGGGAAATGACCTGAAGTACAGAAGAGGAGATCCTGACTCTGTGTTGTATTTAGAAATACATTTAAAGGAAAAAATAAATAAGTAATGAATATGGTTAAAACATTTAGTAACTTAAGGATGTTAAACATTTAAGAAATATTGAAGCAAATGTATGTTGTTGATCTTTAAGCAAAATCTGGACTAATTTGACATATAATCCAAATAAGCCATAAAAACACAATTAATGCATCTAAAGTTAAATAAACATGATGCCAAACTGATAGGTTTGTAGCTTGAACCTATTCGCTGGAACGTTGAAGACAATATAATTACACAGCAAAGCAAGACACAAGGCACCAAAGTTCTCTGGTTTACTCATGCATGAGGGAGACCTGCCTAGAGCCAAGTGTCGTCCCACCACTTGACCTCCATCAGACTCTCAGCCAGGCTCCCCATAGCACTCCTTTTATTGTGGTTACATGAATATGCATAGGGTCATTAACATATAGCATC